TCTTTTTTTTTTTTTTTTTTGTAGTTTACAGATCATTTATAAAACAGCTGTTCACACACACACACACACACACACACACAAAAAAAAAACATGATAGTTGTGGAATTTCAATATTTAAATGACAGCATTAATATATAATAATTAGATTTCACATGCCATTTGCCAGCTTTGGGCAATATTAAAACTATACTGTTTTGTTTACATAAAAACTAAATATTATAACTAAAATCTATCATTTTTGATAGATTTGATAAATTATCGAAATGGACAATATCAAACTTCTATACTATTTTGACTAAATAAATTAATAATATATTAATAAATACAATTAATAAATAAAAATAACTAAAATATAATGGACAGTATGAACATGGATATTCATTTTGAGATTTTTTTTAAAGATAGAGATTTTTAAGATTACATTGCACTGTATTAAATTATTTTTAATAATGATTGTTTTGAGTGTTAGAGGATGGCAAATGTAATCTAAATGTAAAAATAGTGTAATTGAGTATGAACAAGTAAATGTAAAGTATCATCCGAAACCGATAAATTAAATACTGTATCTCTAATATGAACTGATAAATAATATGGTACCAGTATATTTTGCATATGCTGTCTATATTGTGTAGTATACTTTGGGCATTCTGAAATAAAGTTTGCAATTGTACATTTTAAGTGATGTCTGGGTCGTTTTGTCGCTACAAAACACTGCCAGTGTAAACTCCCCCTTGAGTCGTGTCACCAGTGCCGCCAGTCTGCAAAACTGGGGACATTTACTAACAAAACAATTGCTACATTTGCATGAGGGGAAAGAGCAAGCATTAGAATTGTGCGAATGGTTAATATGACACTTAAAGTTTACTCATCATTAAAGCTAAAGGCACACACATCCATCCATATTCATCAAAGTAGGAGGGGAACGAGTGAACGGAGGAGATGAAAGGGCCACCTGTGGCAGGTGAAGAGATGTGGTCTGTCTCTCCATCTCTCTCTTCTCTGCATCCATCTCTCAAGCTCCAAGCACAACTTCGCCTACTGATGCTAATGATGTCCCTCCAACTCCATTCCCCTCGGGGAGAGTCTCAACAAATACACAGGGAGACTCATCCTCCAGGGACTTTAGCATTCTATTTCTATGGTTACCTGTAAGAATAAGAATAATAACACTAATTGGCTCCATTTGGCAGGGCCTTCTCATTCTGCTCTTGAGTGGAAGAGATCAAGGGATTGTTTATCTTTATATGGACAGCTGAGACAGGAAGGGCCTCAAGTCAAGCTGTGATTGAGCATATCTATTCAAGCGACAAGGTAGCACTGAGATGAATCACTTTTCAATGATCACCATGGAGAGGTCCTATTGATTTAATTCTCGCAAAATGTTAAATAAAAGCACTGTAATCCAGGCATGTCCACAAGTCTTTCATCTGAAGTCCGAGTCAAGTCTGAAGACTAGGGATGGAACGATTACCGGTTTCACGATAAATCACGATAAAATGCCCTGATGGTTAGTATTACCGTTTAAAATTTAATTATCATCAAAACCGTGTTTGATTATCGCGCTTTTGAAAACTCGCGGTAAATCCTGTCCAGCCAGCATCAGTCTGACGCAAAGACTTTAAGCTGGATTCAGAGTCAAGTCTGGAGTCTTTCATCACAAGTCCGAGTCGAGTCTGGAGTCATTTCATTAACTGTTGCAAATAAATTCTCATCATTAATAATCCTATTTACCAGGTTGTATTTTAAAGACAAAATATGTTCCAGGGATACTATTAAGATTCTACCTCAAATTGCCTTCCTCTACCTGTACATAGAGTCAATTCAAGATACAAAAATACATAAATACTTGTACAATTATTCATTTTGAGGAAGTCTGTTCATATTCAAAATCATCTGTTACACCATGATGAAGCCACTAGATGCTAATCTAATTCTAGATCTAATTAATCACAAATTAATCACACATCAATTTTAGCTGAGAATATGCCCACCAAAATATCATTTATAAACATTGTGTTAGATGAGTAAAGCATTGGATAGACATTACAAAATGTAGCTTTAGAAAGAAATATTTTGATTCAACATAGCATAAATAATGATAATAGATGGACATAAATGGTTTTTAAAAAATAAGTATTGAAATATGAAAAGAATGATAAAATGTTGTGCTCGGTTTAAGGCAAGATTTTTCGTTCATGTTTTTAACAGGACTCACTGCAGCATATATGTGAGTTAATGTTGCTAACCTTTGTGAATGCGTTTTAAGACGTGATACGTTCTAGGATTTGATGCAGTCATTCCGGTATCTTTAATTGTTTTCCCACATTCACTGCATCTATCCAATCTTCATGAAGTTCCTGATTCTGACACACTAATATAACCACATGTGAGATCACAGATATAGTAAAAGCATATAAGTGAATTACAAGTTCTTGCTTTATGATATCAGTAGTTAAGGAAAAAAGACTAGAGTTGTGTTTAAAATATTCACAGGTCCTTCTTGTTGAGTCGAGTCTGAAGTCTAATAAAATGCGACTCGAGTCCGAGTCAATAACTCGAGTACCCATCTCTGCTGTAATCCAATAACAACCCATGATGTTGTTCTAATTTCATAATTTGAGGCTTTGTACGAAACTGCCCAGTCCGTCAATCACTTAAAGGGGTCATATGATGCGATTTAAATTTTTCCTTTCTCTTTGGAGTGTTACAAGCTCTTAGTGCATAAAGAAGATCTGTAAAGTTGCAAAGACTAAAGTCTCAAATCCAAAGAGATATTCTTTATAAAAGTTAAGAGTCAACCACACCTACCTAAAACGGCTCGTTCTAACACGCCTGCACAATGTTTCTGTATGAAGTTACGGTAGCTTCAAGGGAAATTGGTTTCAAATGGCTTACAAGGCACCACGCCAGATGATCTAGAACCAATTCATTCGAGTTTTAGACATCCAAGCAAATATTTAATGAATGCAATAGGTATTTCTCTATTGTAAATGCATATTGCAAATGCATAATGTACAATTTTTTATTTTTACAATTTATTATCAATTTTTTCTTACAATTTATCTCTTTGTATACATGGAATCATAATAGAACATTTGACATTCATGAAACAATTTTCTTCTAATTTTCTTTTCTTTTTTTGGAGTACAGAGTGAAAACAATGAGTATAGAGTGAAAACGGCTTAAGCAAGACCTTCCTATTGAGTGTACATCTGGTGTCTGGAGAGTCCTGTTGTGGTCTTTTTTCGTACACTGTTGAGAGCGTCATCGTCTGCTGGTTAACAAAAAATGCTGTCCGAGTTTACTGCTCTCATTTGCTCTTTCACACACAAGTGCATATGTGTTTCTATATATGTAATCTGTCACCTCCTCTGCAGTCTGCTTTGAGACTGATTCTGCAGGGACGCTGGAGGAAGTCTGGGGGAAACTGGGACAAATATCTGCCACAGACAGCTTGATTCTCTACACCACAAACCAAACTATTATTTTAATGGGTATAGAGTTTGCTTAAAGCCTGGGAACACTCTTTCACACTCGGTCTTTTTTGCTTTCCCCTTCAACCTTCTTTTAAAGTATGTTTTTAAACCCACACTGTATTGATTGTTTAGACTCAAACCTCCCACAGTCTGTTCACGGAGTATCTGATGAAGATTATAAACAAAACTGCTAACTTCTATTTTTTCCTGTGTTTTCAGTACAGTCGTACATGGAAAGGGCCGTGCCATTTGAATGATTTTTTTCACAACGGTCTATTGTTGTGTTATAATCTATTTCGGATAAACCCGCCCTTAAATGGCATGTAAAAACAAAAAATGTGAATGATTGCTTTATATGCAGGTCTTTCCCTGTCCAAGTAGGCAGTTCTTGGCCAGAATGAGCTGCAATGTGGACCAAACTTTAAGCCTTTAGTCAAAAGTCTGGCAGATTAGATTAAGTGCCACATTTCTAACAGTGATTTTTAATAAGTAAAGGAGCTGAATATCCTTTCAATCCAAAAAGTGAGATAATTAATGTGAAAAAAGATAATAAAATCATCTTTGAGATCAGGAAAATGTGGTCACGATTCTTACCCTTGCTGTTTTCCTGCGATAGAATGTTAATTAGGTCAACCTGCTGATTGTGTGTGTATGTGTGCGTGTGTATGTGAAGCCTAAAGTCTCAGGCCAAGCAGCACTGGAGCTTAGCTCAGGAATCCAGTTGTTATCTGCACATTGAGCAGATCTTGACTGTCTTAGTGGTACTCCTCCTAGTAAAGGAGAATTCACCCCAAAATCTTGTAATTTACTAACCATCAAGCCGTTTCACTCCTGTGTGACTTTATTTTTTTCTCTGGAAAAAAATTCACACAAGGTGAATTTTAGAAATATCATATTTTCAGTTTAATGAAAGCTAATGGCTTTCATGTAACATTTTTGTTGACTACATATTTTTTTTAGTCAATTTTGAAGTGAATAATTACTTAAATTTTGGTCTGCTTTTTACACAAAAGATATCATAGTATATGTTCTTCTGTTCAAATTATATTGTAATATTTTTGTTGTTGTTTTTTTTATTGCATTGATTTGATCAAAAAGACAGTAAAAACAGCAATACTGTGAAATATTACTTCAATTTAAAATAATTGTTCAATTTGAATATATTGTGAAATGTAATTAAATTAATTTATTCCTGTGATGGCAAAGCTGAATTTTTAACAGCTATTACTCCAGTCTTCAGTGTCACATGATCCTTCAGAAATCATTCTAATATGCTGATTTGCTGCTCAAGCAACATTTCTTATTATTAGCAATGTTAAAAACAGTTCTGCTTAATATTTTTTGTGGAAATCGTGATAATTTTTCAGGATACTTTGATGAATATAATGTTCAAAAGAACAGCATTTATTTAAAATACATTATATTATATTTTTATATTATATATTATTTATTGTATATTATATTATTTTATATTATATTTAAAAAAAAAAATTAAACAATGTAAAAGGTAGTGTATATAGAATATAGTACTACAGGTTGTATTTATAATGCTTTTTGCCACAGAAGAAAGAAAGTCATGCTGGTTTGGAATGACATGAGGGTGAGTAAATGAGAATGTTCATGTTTGAGTGACTATCCCTTAGTGTCCCAGAGGGCCGCAACTTGTGAACCGTGTTTAAACAGTCCAGCCACTAATCCTTAATCTACAAACATGGTGCCTGAATTTTGGCCTCACTTGTACCAAGCACCAAGGATTGAGGGATGGAGCTAGAGAGAGATGGCCGAGAGAGGCTGGTTTAATTACTGTACTCCTGTCCCTTAGCAACTGTGGGAAAAAGAAAGTCTCATCCTCAGGGACACGTCAACGAATAGAGGTGATGATTCCATGGGGTTGAAGAGAGCTGAAAAGAGAGTATGTAGGTTATGCGCTTTCGCTTTATCTCTTTCTCTTACTTACTTTCTCACTTTTTTAATGTCTCCCGCTCTCCCTTTTCCTCTTTTTCTCTCTGTCACAAAGTCCCACCCTCCTACCGGCCATTCCAGACCTTCGCTAGTGCCTACACCACGCACAGCTGTCGAGTGATTGATGTCATCTCTGAAAGCTGTCAAGAACTCCCCTCTTTCGTTCTATCTAAAAAGAAAAAAAATAAACTTATCTCGTATGCAGCAGGCTCTCCTAAGTATCGCCCATTTATCTTGACGCCTCACAGGTTGTGGTAAACCGGGTGAATTTATGCTATGCCATTGGGATTATTTTGTGCTGTAGCTAAAAATCTCAAATAAGTGAATATTTCAGAAAAACTTTGTTCTATTTTTCTTTTCTTTTTTTTCTTCCTTTCAACAATGACAGACCTTTCTTCAAGTGAATATTAATTCCTTTCACTCTGGAAATCTGAATTTCATTAAGGCCGCTCTTAATCCGCGTTCTGAGGAGCTAAGTGCGTATTGACAGAGCTTAAGATTCGGTAGGTTTACACCTCGCTCATTTAAAAAGCTGTCCATCAGGGTGTTTATTCAGCGAATGTAAATTCACCCCCAATTACCATTCAGTTCCATGCAGCTTTAAATCCCCCCCAAAAAAGAAGAAATCTTCAGCCCAGACAATTCAGATGGTCACAATAACTTAATCCCGAGATAATTAAGACAAGTCTGGTGAGGACAGTATTTTGAATGCTCAACACTTCAAAAGTGACGCGATTTATGTTTGTTAAAAGTTTTTTGTTTTAGCCCCTTGATTTGCATATTTTTCCCCTCCAGTCACATCCTTATTATCTCAAACTCCTGCCACATCCTTTATGACTCACCGTGATTTAGAATCCTCACTTAATTCTTTGTGGATTTCTTCTTTAACATTGTATCTTTTTGATTTAACGATGCATGGTATCGTCTACATATATTACTGTCGTCCTACACTACTGTCCAAAGGTTTGGTAAAAATGTTTTAATGTTGTTACATTTATTTGATCAAAAATACAGTAAAAACAGTAATACTGTGAAATATTATTACAAAAAAATAAATATTTTTCTATTTGAATATATTTTAAAATGTAATTTATTCCTGTGATTGCTAAGCTGAATTTTCAGCAGCTATTATTCCAATCTTTAGTGTCACATGATCATTCAGAAATCATTCACATATGCTGATTTAGTGCTCAAGAAACATTTGTGTTCTTTGTGAAAAAAAGTGTTAATTTCTCTCTCTCAAAAAAAACAAACTGAGGTGTGTATAATCTCTGTAGTATCTCTCATGCATACTTATGCATCACCTTTAAGGGCCTGTGTCATCTTCTTAACTGCATTTCCACATTGTACAACTCATGCATGACTTCGCCATTAATTTTCCCTCTGGACGCCATAGAGAGAAACTAGATGACTCTTAATGCCTGCATTCTATGTGCATTTTTCAGCAACGTTTTCATGCCCAGACAGAGTAACAACAGCCAGACAGTGGTCAGGCGAGTAACAGATCTGATGTGTATTTGGAGGGAAAGAGAAAGAGAAAGGCAGAGGAGACGAGAGTAATTGTGTGGTGAATTCAAGGCCTGTGTTTTCTCTGTTCTCTGATTGAGGGGGGCAATGGGCAACAATTAGACTATCGTGTTTTAGTGTGATCATCTCTTTTGGAAGGTAGTGGTGAGACAAATGTTGGGGAATTACTGTAATGGAATGGAATAAAGAAGAAAGAAGAAATGAGGGTGGATACAGAGTGGAAAGTACTATAGAGGTAAAGTGTAGTTGAATGATTAATGCATGACATATGTGTCATCTGCACATTTGCCCTGATCCACAACAGCACAGCTAGGGTCTAATATGTTTCTCTCATCTACACAAATTCATTAGTCATTCTCTGTTGTCTATTGTAGCATCATAGCACAATTAACCAAATTAAAATCATCACCATATGCCTTTGTGCGATGATTAAAAAACAAAAGGGACTCAGGATGTGACTCAGGATAGATAATAATAATAATAAATAGACAATATTATATTACAATAATATAATATAATATAATATACCAATAAATAAATAATTGTAAAAAGTAACTGTGTTGGCAAGAGTAATTTCTATGGGCAGCAGAGTGTGGGCAACATATAACTCACTTCTTTGTCCTGTTAGTTTGTAATTTTTGTTTCAATATCATTTTATGGCTTTTTGTTCTTCTGCCTCAATATCGAAGCAGTGTCTTTATGAGATGTTTAAGGTCCATAATACTGAAGCTCAATTCACAATGTTTGTCAAAATAACTTACAATAAAAGTTTTTTTTTCAAATATCATACAGCCCTAATCCTTGTTTTAATGCACTCTCTCCATCTCTTTGTCTTCAGGAAGTGAAGCACATTCTACCTGATTGAACCTGTCCTTGAGCATATTTCCAGGTAGATCGACTCGCCCTGAACTCCCTCCCCGCCTCTCTTCACCCTTGTCTGGCCTGTGTAAATAAGTCATCAATGGCTTTGGAATAGCTGTGCTATTCAAAAAGAGAGATGGCCGAGGAGAGGAAAGAAGAGGACAGGTGGTTATTAGAAGGGAGGGGAGAGGAAAGAACTGCTGAGACCTGCTTCCGTTAGTTCCGACTGTAATTACCGGAATCATTATGCCTATTCAAACTGAATCCAAACACCTGCCTACTCAGATTTTTGAGCTAAGTTGATTTTACTATTGTAAGCTGTAAGACTGGACTATCATGTCTGATACTTAAATTAAGTAAAAACTACTCAGCAGTTAAAACATGTTTTTGTTTCTCCTTATTTTGCCTTGGGTGCCAAGTGTGCCAGGACTGCCACAGTGCACCTCAAAATGAAAGTGACGTGATGTGTGGCCAAGTATGGTGTCCCATACTTGTAATTTGTGCTCTCTGCATTTAACCCATCCAAGTGCACACATACAGCAGTGAGTAGTGAACAAACAGACACACATAGTGACCACACACCCGGAGCAGTGGGCAGCCCTTTTTCCTGTGGCGCCTGGGGAGCAGTTGGGGGTCTCACCTCATTCGTGTTATTGAGGGTGGAAGAGAGCGCTGGTCATTCACTCCCTCCACCTACAATCCCTGCCGGTACCGAGACTCAAACCCACGACCTTTGGGTTACAAGTCAGACTCTCTAAATATTAGGCCATGACTGCCCCTAAAATACAGAGGTGCCTGGTGCCTCTGGTAATTAAAATCTCATCTGACATGAAACAGACAATTGCTTGGGAGTGGGAATGAGATACACTAGTTTGCAGATATAAAGACATATATATAAGGGAAGGAGAGAAAAGGAAGAAGACCAGAGATTCACAGACAGCTCACTCACTAGTGCAGGCGACTGAAGGGGGGTCGGAGAGGGCTCTGTAATAGCCGTCTTCGCAGTCACATCTCCATGAGCCCTCTCTGTCATTATAACTGTGCGCGGGACAACGGGAACACTGAAGATCCTGAGATGAAGACTTGTAGAATCCACGACCACAGGCTGTATGGTGATGGAGAGAAAGAGAGAGAGAATTAGCATGTGTTCATATTTTGTATCATCTAGTGTTTGGATCAGACTGCCCCTTAAGCACTCCCATAAAAACAAAACAAAAAAATGTCTCTTTAATATTTCAATTGTTCTCATAGACACAACTGAGATTCAGTGGAGTGCAAATGGAGACTTTTCAGCTTCTCAGATTCTCAGACCATTATCATACTGTATGTATCTCCTCTAGGGGTTTAGAAGAGATCTCAACATATGCAATTAAAAGAGATTTTAATATGAACTCAAACAATTCTAATTCAATTCTCTCAGGAGCAAATTATCTGAGATATGCTAACCATATGAGTTTTATATTTATAGCCAGTGTTGTTATAGTTAACTAAAACTAAAACTGAGAATATTATTTGTACTTGAATATAATAATAAAATAAAATAAAATAAAATAAAATAAACTTCGAAAACTGAAATTAGAAAGGTTGCCTTAGAAATCTACCTGGAATAAGTTGAAGTTGAAGTACTAAAATTACAAAAAAAAAAAAAAAAAACTAATAAAATGACAAAATTAAAATAAAATAAAGCTAAATATAATTGAACATTATAGCAGGAATTTTGTCAATAATTTTATCATATTATTCTTTTTTTCCGCCTAAGATGTTTTAAGACAAAAGTCGATAAATAGATAAAAATAAATAAATAAATAATAATTAAGAAATATAAAAGGATCAATCTCTGAGCTAGAGCTGCACGATTCTGGATAAATTGAGAATCACGATTTTTTTTTGTCTCAAATAGAGATCACGATTCTCCCACGATTCTGAACTAAACAAAATAATGTGTGGCAAAATATGATTGCTGCAGTCTATTTAAAAGTGTTTAATTAATTTGAATGAAGTATTTTAATATGCACTACCAGTCCAAAGATTTTGAACAGTAAGATTTTTTATGGTTTTTAAAGAATTCTCTTCTGCTCACCAAGCCTGCATTTATTCACTGTATTTCATATGTGGAATTGCCAATGAAGCACCATCATCATGTATTACCATTTGCATTATAATTAGACAACATTAAATACCTAATAAAATGATTTTTCCCCTTTATTCAGTTTTTCATGACTTTATAATTCATCACTAAAAACTTTGGTGTTAATTAACCTTC